TATTAAGGTGTAAAATTTTCTAAAGATTACTAAGATTTACTAAAATGAAAAATGTCGTCGTTAAAAGTACGCATTTAAATATTTAGACTATAAAAATTAGAAAAGAGAAGGCAAGTATGAAAAGTATTTAAAGTGTAAATTATGAATATTATCAAATATGTGGCTGATGTGGCTAGTGTAAATTACGAATATTTATATATCAAATTATTTCGTTTTATTTCAATCAATGGCCGAGCGAATCGAATAAAGAATATAAATATTTAATAAAATAAAAAATACGCATAGGCATATTTAATATAAGCAATATTAAAATAGCCAATTTCTGGCGTAATTAAATATTGGCGTATAAAATAGAATATTAAGAGAGTAGTTAGGGAACAAACATACATACAGACAAACAGACATTTTATGAAAAATGACCTTAACAAAATAAAAACGGTGCTAAAATGAAAAATGAAAAATGTTATTAAAGTGTAAAATTTACTAAAGATTACTAAGATTTACTAAAATGAAAAATGTCGTCGTTAAAAGTACGCATTTAAATATTTAGACTATAAAAATTAGAAAAGAGAAGGCAAGTATGAAAAGTATTTAAAGTGTAAATTATGAATATTATCAAATATGTGGCTAGTGTAAATTACGAATATTTATATATCAAATTATTTCGTTTTATTTCAATCAATGGCCGAGCGTGTCGCTAACGTCGAGCTTAACGTCGAGCTAAATGCGTATTGTTGCTAACTGCGTTATTTTTAAATGTTTAAATATAATTTTGAAGTTACCTGAATAATTCAGGGACTAAATGTAATATGTATACGAAATATTGTCGTATAAAATAAAAATATTAAGAGAGGAGTTAGGGAACAAACAAATATCCAGACTACGTAACTTGAACACGTGACACAGAATGGACCAATCCTATTCGGCTTCAACGAACAAACGCTTTATTATATGTGATATTAACAAAATATATACAGATAAGGTAGTATTAAAGAACAAAATAAAAACTCTCATCATTTCGAAAAAAAAAATTCCTGTTATTACACTTAAAAACTTGAGCAAATTGTACATTTTAGCATGTATATCGGGATTCAGACAATAACTCTGAAAGATATCACAGTGACCTTTATTGAAGATACACGAGATAACCAAGTGTGAACTTTTATAGTTATTTAAATATTAATTTTAATAAATAATAATTAATTAATTATTTATAAAATATTATATAATATAACAATTTTACATATTACTATAATATATATAATTCTATTATTGTTAGAGATATTAAAATAAATCCTCTAAATATAATCCCCATAGAGGAAAACAATTAGAATTTTACGTCGCTGTCTTGAAAGGAAGCTAGATGTACAGGCTACTTCGATGTAGAATAGGTGCACAGTAAAATGGCAGATACTTCATTGCAAATTTGATATAAAAAAATTAATCAAAATAATTAAAAATACTTCTGTAGAAGGACTGACAAGTCCGAAAGTTTGAAAATAAATATTTGAACAAGAAACTTAAAACTTATTTATTTATTTGACATATCGGACGCGATATCCCAGCTCGGGATACTTGCGCCTAAATACATTTTAGTAGATTATATACAATTCATTTTATACAATTTAATAACCGGACTAAAAACATAATTAAAACTTAAACGATAGTGCTCCAAAACAGAAGAGAAAATCTAAAATGGATTATTTTAGCAACCTATATACAATTCATTATATACAACTCAATAACCGACTAAAACTAGAAACTTAAAACCCTGGAAGCTTTATACTTTATAAAATAACAAATATTATTTTTAAATGCTTATTTTGGATCATATATTTTTATTTTACAAATTTTGTATGGCAACTCGCCAAACTTCTTCGGGGATTTACAAATATATTTTTTCAGAGAATCTTTAGAAGTATCAGTGAATAAATACAATAATTTAGCACCAAGTCTATTCGGCTCTCCACTGTTGTGTGCTTACAACACATCTTTAAAAATATAATAAAGAATAGATTGGGCTATGATAAATCTTTATTTCTATATTATAAACCTTGCACAGTGTTATAGAAAAGCAAGTTTTCGAGCTCTCGCCTCTCTTCTACAGGCTAATATATCAATTAGTAATAAATACACTCATAGAAAAAAAATGATGGAAGTGGAAAGTATTTTATGTCGCCGATGGTCTGCTTTATTTAAAGAGACAGAGGTGTTCACACTTGGTTATCCCATTTATCTTCAAAAAGAGTTATTGTCTGAATCCCGATATACATTCTGATAGGTGTTTAGAAATCCTACAAGACTTGAACAGCCAATAAGGTTTACATGGTTGTGCTGATAACAGATGTTTTTATCTCTCTCTCTCTCATGATGGAGTATTATACTGGATTTATAAACCGCGTGATATTGGAAGATAGGGAGGACTTCCATCAGTCTGATGGTAGTGATTCCTTTATTCAACTTGAACTTTACACACATGTTATAACTAGGATAAATGCTACAAACATGTATGTTATATTAAAATATTATTTTATTTAAGATTATATTTCATAGAATTAAATACTCTGTTAAATCGACCGCCAGAGGTCACGATTCCCCTTTAAAAACTCATTGTTGTTGTTTCCCGATGGCCGGCTCAAACTTTGGTACATTATGTAAATAAGTTTTTCATTTTTCGATTCTTACGCCTTAAGCCAGGCAGTACTTTTATCAAATTATGTTTTTGTATATCTCCCATAAGCTCAATTAAAGCTATTTTGATAACTATTTTTATTATTATACTTTCAAGATTTTAACCACGACTGCATTACCATAGCATAATCCTCAAGATAATCAAAATCACACAGAAAATCTCATTTTTTATATTATATGTATATATATGTAAATACCATTCAGAGGTCTGATGAAGAATCAACACTCGATGGCTTAACGCATTTTAATGAAGAAAAATATATTTCATATTTGGCACTTTACTTTTATAACTAATTTTCAAGTATATTTATATTAAGAAATATCTAATGCATTTCTACAAATTTAATCTTCTCTACTATTTACCTATGAATTCGAGGCTAAACCAATGAGCTGTGGTATTCACAACAAGAGATATTACAAAAATATATAAAATAAAAAGGTAAACAATGTAATTCTGTTATCAAATAGCGCGCTAGTGCATCTCAATGTAATTCTGTGTTTGCATGGCAAGCTTTCGGAATTCTATTGTCCTTCTACAGGCAAAGCAATAATTTCATAGATCTATGGACTATGTCGGTAGATGGGCAATAAACTCATGGACAAAACTTAAGGAAGTTGTACCTTTTAGCATGTATATCGGGATTCAGACAATTACTCTGAAAGATACACTCATGGACAAAACATAAGGAAGTTGTACCTTTTAGCATGTATATCGGGATTCAGGCAATAACTCTGAAAGATATTAAAAACCTTTATTGTAAACACACGAGGTAACCAAGTTTGAACAAAAATGCCTCTGTCTCCTTATAAAAAGAATTTTTATGTGGTAAAACATTTTAAAGTGATGCAATTTTGCTCCAAGCTGTTAGAGAGTGGTTCAGATAGTTGGATATGACGTTTTACCAAAGTAAAAGTTGGCAAAACCCCTGGATCAAATGTGTACAGAAAGCAGGTGGGTATATTGAATGATTCTAATGTACATATTTACAGTTTTCTAGTTTGTAAATAAAAGGGTGTTTCCAATTGTACATTATTTATTGACCGAACCTTGTATATGAGATAAAAAGACTCTCAGAGAGTTATAAAAAATGTATGCCTTGGAACACGAATGATTCTTTTACAAATAAAACAAACTTCTACCATTTATGTAATTCTGCTGTCCTATTACCATATAGGGTTAGATAGAATACAATTTATAAAATTCCATCTTTCAGTGTAACATATATAAGCAGAATCGCCCAATACAGTATTAGGGCTCTAAAATAGAGGTCTGGTAGATTAAATTGCTTTCATCATATGTGCTTTCATATGCTTTCATTTATATATATATTATATTATCTCAAATGCAAATATTTTATTTTTAAAAAAACATGTATTTTATTTTCACTCGTTGACTGTTCCACATTTTTTGACCACTTTGAATTATTGTTATAAATATGTATAGTTGAACTTACCTATTTTTTTAATTCACGATTATAGGATTCATTTTATAAATTCTATATTACTGTGAAAAATAATTCTATGTGTAATTACCTTCAAATAATTCAAAATAAAAAACTACTTGATGGGTGAATAATTATCTTTTTCACGAATGCACCTTCAATTCCCTATCTCTTTTTCAACAACAAAACAAAAAATAATCATAACAATTTATATAGACGGCGTGTTAATGCCTTATAACAATCTGTCAGATTTATAACAATTATATTTTATGGCAACGTTTTTCTTTTCACATATATTATCAAATAATATCCCTACAGTCCTTACTGCAATGATCAAAGTTATTGAACGAGAGGGTTGGCTCATCAGTGGTGAACCCTCTCAGCGGTTTCGCCAAATTAATCTCCAGACCGCTCTACTATTGTATTGGATTGGTTTTATTATAAACCCTGCATTTACTATGGAGCTCAGTAGGTTTAAGGAATCTATGGACATAAGCTTATAAGTCTATAGAGGTGTGTGTGCAAATATATATATATATATATTTTTTTCAGGATGCCTTTTAATGACCAATTTTTTTTTTTTGGTCGTTGAGGTACAGCTTGCACCACGCTGATGAGGTCCAACAACCCGAAACGCGTCCGTGGTTAGCTTTTCTTGATTAATCAAGAATGGGTATTTGGCCAATTGTGGAATAATTAAAAATCAACGAGAATAGTTGATATTTATTCCGATAGATGGCGCAAGCCATCAGCAACTTTCAGTTGCACGATAAGGAGATGCCTTTTTCTTAATATATATATATTATAAAGAGAAATATTTACTATTTCTAACTTTTTTGAATGAAGTATGAGAGGGTGAAAATATGAAGAGTAATGGCGACCGTGGACATGGCACCTGCCCGGTAAGCAGAAGGTTGTGGGTTCGATTCCCGCCCCTGGGCACTTTTATTTTTCCTGTTCGCCATTACTCTTCATATTTTCACCCTCTCATACTTCATTCAAAAAAGTTAGAAATAGTAAATATTTATCTTTAAAATAAATATTGATTTTATAGAAAAGAAACTTATGCGGTATAATTTTAAGTATTGTTTATATATATATATATACATATCAGTTATGAAAGTTAGTATAAAAGTGAATTTTTACTTGGATCAAGTGGGTAAATTAGAATAAAAGGTATTTTCTGATATTGAAAATAAAATTTGCTGATGGCTTGCGCCATCTATCAGAATAAATATCAACTAACAAATATGAAATATTATTTCCAAGATCATAAGTCTTTGACGAGTTTAATATTTATTTTTGACTCGCGCTTTAGATGTTGTACTAAATTCGAAAAATTACGTGAGAACGCTCTTTCCAACCTCAGAACAAATTTTAATGCCTTGCCAAATGCTTTATTTACTCCTGACGAAGACAAAAGATTTTTGTCGAAACGTTGAGAAAAATAAAAAACTCTAACTGGCCGAAGTGTCTTTTTTAAATATAAATATGAATGCCGGTCAGGCAACCTCTATCTTTACGATAATTATGGAATAATTGAAAATCAACGATTAGTTTATATTTATTCTGATAGATGGCGCAAGCCATCATCAACTTTTAATTACTCGATCAGGAAATGCCTTTTATCTTAATATATCAGTTATATATTGATACAAAAAATGTGTCCCATTTATTTGGTATCAAGTTGCCGCTATTACCTGTGAGGACACAATAATCCTTCAAGTAGTTCAGTAATAGAACAGTCAGAGAGAAACCCGGAGACCCATCTATATTTAACTGACAACAATACAACATTAACTACCCATTAAATGTCGCCTTTTGTCTCCTGTTCCCATTTTTTTAGAAATCCTTTCTTTTGATAAACTTTTTGTCTAAACGTCTTGTTAATGCATAATGACTGAAGAGTTTTTCTTGAAGTACTTTTATTTTCTTGAAATCAATGTCATAACGATTTTCTTTAATTACAGAAAGATTTTTAAAGGCAATTTGCATATAAAAATATATTACATTGTCACATATGCACATATATTATTCTTTAATTAAAAAGGCATATATTGGATCAAAATATCATAATATATGCCTTTTTAATTAAAGATATATTTATGGATTACTCTATTTTCAAAATATATTACTCTGGATTGGCTTATATTAAAACGTTTTAAATGGGTTTTATGTAAATCATCATATGAGGTATACACATATTTTTGAGAAAATTCTTATCGATAAATTCATTTTTATTTCAATAAAGACCGCTTTTCCTTAACCATTACACGTCAATGTAGAAAATGCTATTTATATATTTCAAATCGCGCAATAAACTATATTTTAACCTCATATTTGCATCTTTTCTTAACTGTCTGAAATAATTAGTTTGAAAATAAGAGTATGTTAATGGAGGGGGAAGGATTTCAGCTTCATGTGGTTTTGAAGGTACTGTAAAAGACTTGGATACTTTGAACAATGTTTCAAATTTTAAACCTGTTTCTTAAAAACCTATTTTTCTCTCTCTTTCAATATATTCATAATTATATATAACTCTATATGCTGTCGGCCTTTCGGCTAACATCAAAGTCTACACGTTTAATATATATATTGATCGTTTTGAAAATAGGGCAATCCATAAATAAATCTTTAATTAAAAGGCATATTGGCATATAAATTATTCTTCATCCAATATATGTCTTTTCAATTATATATATATATTGTTACGTAGAAAGAAAAGCACATTCCAGATTGGAGAGAGAATATTCTAGAACGTTTAATAATAATGTAGAAACAGCGGATGAAAACTGATTGGCCAATCTAAAGCGATTGCGCAAGGCTTAGTGCTGGTGGCTTTCTGATTGGCTGACCAACCATGACCGTTCTGGAAGGATCTACTCCGGGATATATAGGGATGAGAAACTAATGCCAGGGGAGAATAAAAATAAGAAGTGAAGTAGAAGAACGAAACTACGTGGTGTACTCCAAGCAAGCTGCTGTCTCAAGAAGTCGGACTGCTGCTTACCGCCGACGCCGGTGTACTTAATGGAAAATTCTAGAAAGTTCTACCAACTTCTGTCTCCTGTTCTGCTCCTGTTTCCTTCACTGTGCTGCAGTTGGTAAGTTTGTAACTGCTGTTTTCTTTATTGGTGTTTTATTTTTGCACTCTTCTGTAATTATTTAATCGATTAGGCTTAAATAAAGTCCTAAAGATCCCTTGTACCCACGTTCTTTGTCAACCAACAACGCGACAATATATCACATGTTACATTAATGTCTACTATCGAACAATCGGAAATAACCTCTTTATTACTGCGATCTTTTCATGAAGATAATGGGGCTTGGATCATCAGTGGGAAACCCTCTCAGAGGTTTGAATAAATAAATATATACAATTTATTTTCGTCAAAATAAGTATGTAAATATGTTAAGCTTGTGTTAAAATGTAAATATGCAAATTCATCCATCTATAAAAACGATACAAAAAAATAAAGGTGGCAGACATCGCGGGTACGCTGTTCGCTTGGCTGGAGCTGATTCTTGGGGATTGTAGACACAACGCTTGCGCCCTTTCATTTGACCACGGCAGCTACGACATATATATAGCCCGAAACCATGGTCTCTAGGTGGACGTTTTCAGTTTACCAAAGCTGGTGTTGTGGCTTTGTCACCGACCCGAGGCCGCTAGTTTGCGGCGACAGTCAATAGATGGCGTATGGTTTTAGACGTCTATTTTGACGGGAGAGGTGACCCATGTCTCTTTAGATCAATTTTCTCCCGGCAAAATTTCCATATATATATATATTATCATAGAAGATTTTACAAGTCCTTTTTTTTCTGAAAATCAAACTGACAACTCAGACACCAATTAACTTTCAAAAGATTTAAATTAAAGGAACAAAGAATGATTTTTTTAACGCACGTCAATCTGATAAAATTAAATTTATCGATATCAAGAAAGGGATCTCGTAAATTAAAAAAAAAGGGGGAAAATTCTTATAGAATCAATTTTTTTAATTACTAGTTTGTCTCTGTATTGCTCGTCATCACTCATGTGGAACATCTGAAATCTATCTAGGGAAATATGGGCTAGATATTGGTCTAAGCAATCATTGGGTAGGAAATTGATGTGATGATTATAGATTATTCCATTTACTAATTAACGGTGGAATATTGGAAGTTATTAAAATGCGATGTTTTCATTAACTAACTAGGTTTTACACTTTACGATCAATATTTGAAATTGCTGTGAAATTTCCTCTCTCAGCAGGAATTCTCAGTTTAACAAATATGATCGAAATATAATTTGCTTCCTGTTTACATTCTCTCTGACTTCTGGGATTGGTTTATCACCTAGGACATTGGAAGACGAGTGGTATTCGACAGCCAATCGAATCCGGGATTGGGCACTTTTTTTCTGAAAAGGAAATTGCTTCAAAGGACCTTCGATTCTTGTAAAAGTCCAACCTCACCAATTAGTGAAAGTAATCAAACTCTGGCAGACTTGTAAGTGTAAAAGTCTAAATGTTTTCTACTTGTATAGACATGTGGTAGTATTACCTACCATGATAATCATGGCCTGTACCACGTGTACTAGGGATACAAATTTAAAACCTACCACCTCTCTTATACGTCCTAAAGTCTATAAACGTTCAGAGGATTAAAAAAGTCAAAATAAAACCTCTTCAAGAAATTTCCTGAGAAGCATGATCTATTGATTTTATTTTCTCCATTTCTATTTTAAAAAAAGTACACGTGTCTCCTTTGTGTATATAGTGTTTGTTAGTGTAAATGGAGTAGGTAGAATTTTATCCTGAGAGAGTGAAACAAAAGGAGCTTTAATTTTATATGACTTGAATCAAACCTAGAGATCCCAATCCTGTCCCAGTTGATAGGGTTATTTTCCATCACATGTTAAACTGTATAAAAATCTTACATCATAAAGAGCACCATATGTACCATATATACATGTTATATAAAAATATTATTTTATTTTAAAATATAATTTCATAGATTCAAATATTCTGCCAAATCGACCGCCAGAGGTCACTCTTCCCCTATAAAATCTTGTTGTTTTATCCCAATGGCCGGCTCAAAACGTTTGTACATTATGTAAATAATCTTTTGTTTTCCTTATTCTACTCGCCTTAAGCCAGGCATTACTTTTATCAAAAGGCATTACTTTTATATATTCCTTTAGTTCAATTAAATTACTGATCAAAATTATTTTTATTATCATACTTTCAAGATTTAACCACGACTGCATTACATTACCATAATCCTCAACATGACCGAAAATACAACAGAAAATCTCATTCATCTTTATTTATATTTATAACATACATATATTTTTAAATATCTAATATTCTTAATAAATATATATAATATAGAAATCTAAATATCCCTATTATTGTAACTTCTTTGAAATAATAAGGTTAATAGAAGGCTGACGAACCTAGAGATAGCCGTGAGAACTTGGCGCCACATAACTTCACAACAGGAAAACAGGGAACAGGAAAAGTCCGACCTTTGTCCTCGGAAGGGGGGAGACACTCCGGCTAAAAATAGAGCCGAGAGCTGGTTAAAGACAGTTGGGAGATCAAAGGAGATGCGGTCGACTGGTCGGTCAGTCTCTTTGCTCGACCCATTCAGTACGCCTTTTTTTATGGACGTAGCCTTCTTGTCGCCACTAACCTCTGTAGTGTTTATTTACTTCTTACCGTTTACATTACTATATATATATGTTATATTAAAATATTTTATTTAAAATTATATTTCATAGATTCAAATACTCTGTTAAATCGACCGCCAGAGGTCACGCTTCCCCTATAAAAACTCATTGTTGTTGTTTTCCAATGGCCGGCTCAAACCTTTTGTACATTATGTAAATAAGTTTTTCATTTTTTTATTCTTACGCCTTAAGCTAGGCAGTACTTTTATCAAATTATGTTTTTTATATATTCCTTCA